CAATGCTCATCTGAGACGATAATAGTAACTCCATTTAATATTGGAAATTTCTTTTCTGTTTGATCATTATTTTTATTACTCTGGTCAGTTAATAAACTTTCATGATGATCTTGTCGATAATCTGATAATGAAGAAGAGTCCTTCTCACTTTCACTACTATTGCTGGTAGATTTGCACTTGGATTTGACTGTATTATTTTTTTCTCGATGTTTAGTAATATAGGATGATAAATCCGTTAACGAAATGGAGTTTCTCTGGCTTAATCGTAAAGAAGAAGTACTTCCATTTGTAACTTCACTATCATTATTATTACGATTATATCTTTCTTTGATCTTCATTAACCTTGCCTGAAATTCAGTATCTGGCATTAACGAGCGAGGATCGAAGCCTTTTAGCTTATAGCAAATTGCTTCGCGTATAACTTCTTTATCCTGCCGAGGATCGTCAGTCAGATAATATTTAGTGGGACAATCAATTAATGAACTGGTAGTTGGATCATCACCTCCCATATCTAATCAACATAAAGACATCATAATTATTCATTCAATTAGCATTTTTGAAGTCATGATGAAAAAAAAAAAAAAATTATATAATTATAATGAGCCCAATAGCAGCCCACTTATCCATTGATACATTCTATTACATCGAAAAGTACGAAAATCAAGCTCGGGCGTCTAATGGAATTAATGATGGTAGAATTAAACTAATTATAACATTGTGTTATTAACAGTATCTTCAATCTGATCAGAATAAAGTTAATACAAGCAAGATGCTTACTTGAAAAACAATAGGCTGTCAAAGAATTATTGATTATAAATACATGTATGCCAAATCGAAATGAATGCCAACTTATTGTATTACTTGTTATTATCAAACGAAGAATGTCATTTCGATCATCAATCTTTTTTTAGGTTTCTATAAAAAGAAAATTCGACAATGGTAGGCAAAGTTTAACAGTGTTTTAACATTTGAGATTGTTCATCAAAAGGATTTAGAATATTTCTCTACACCATAGGAACGGGCTAGACTCTCTTGATAGTATACACATAGTACGCCGTAGTGATGATAGGCGCCAGGTTGGTGAAAAAAATAAAAAGGTTAATTCAAGGGATCACTATAAATCCGATGTTACCATTGCACAAACATGTCGATAATGTAAAGGCACCAATAGATGCATACCATAAGCTTTGTGTTATGGAATAATAGCAAAACCGATCAAAAATCAACCTAAGAAGCTGTTCCAAAATAAATACTTCAAGTCTACCGACATAACTTAAGCTTTGTAGGTCCCATGTGCAATCCGTCAATTTAACTGTCTCATCAGTGACTCATAAATGACTCATAGCGTTATAACTCATAAGCGAGTAGTCAAAAGAATATATGTTACTGTCCCCGATTTGGATCAACATAATCAATATAAAAGCAACAAATTTAAAAATGTGTAAATTGACACATGTTTTAATTAGATAGGTTAATGAACTACATGAATAATTAAACTTGACCAGTATACAGTACTGCTCAGTTGGGTTTTTAAGACGTTTCCACGCCGCACATAGACAACTAGTTGTCATAGCTTCAATGAGATTCAATTGCTATATGCGTACGTACAATATAAGTATAAACGATAAACGATAGCGGAATAATTCATGAATAATTATATACGATCAAGGTTATTACTCCAACATGCTATGTGCGTATTTAAAAAGGAAACGTTGACCTATTTCACTACGTTCTGAGTGGAATTACTTGGATCTGATCGATCGTAGACCCTAACAAACCTACTCGTCTATGAATGTGATATAGAATTGATACAGCCTAGTTCAATTAATAAGACAATCGATGATTTTCTTGATCAGCTACTTGAAATTTCAATGTCATGTTTGTAAGTTAACCATGTCCGTTATAAAATACGCTATAAATACGAGTACATTTATGCTGGTGTGTTCATATACAGCATGAGAAGGATATACAGTAGTAGGCAAGAGTAGTATTGAACAAACTCGACCTATGATAGCACGCATCAAGTTGAAACTGTATCACTTATGATCATAAGATGATGACAACCACTTCTCATCTCTATCATGACTACACAATTCTTACCTTGGGATCAATAAGCGAAAAGATCCTAGTCAGTCATTTGAAAGCCAACTTGGATGTTTTATAATTTCACTGATAATTCGGTATAGTAATCAATTAGAAGCTTTTCTCACTGAGCCAATCGATGATTCATTTACTAGCAACCCTGCGGTGAAAAAGAAGATATGAATAAACAAAAATAGGACGATATGTTGATGTTCATGTGGTCGCTATTTGAAAAACATCAATCAATATACTAAATAAGTTGGCAATCATTTCTAATTGATATATCGTTTTATCATCGATAGCATAATCAAGTTGGATGAATAGTCATATTAGCGTGAATGAAGAACAATCCGATTGAATACGTGGTCAAAATCAACTGCAAAATAATGGTTGAAAATATCCTGTATTGAGTAGAGTACAACACCATCAATGATGTCGTACATGAATAAAATACATGTATTTCATTAAAAAAGTCGTGTTAAAACCAATAGAAGAATCTATCTTGAATCTGACTACAACAGCATGAGAAATATCAAGAAGTAGAATGATATAGTAGAAGTGTAGAACTATCAGAGTTCTTCTTCAAAATGGACAGCTAAAAAAAATGATAAAAAACGTTCCCCTTCACGTTAAGTTCAACTGCATGGGTGATGTCAAGCAGGAATCTCAAATTAAACAAATAATTGTCTATCATTTGATAGTGTCCAATCCAAATAGGAAATTGTATTTGAATACAACTGTGACAAGGGCTAAAAATGTAGAAAGACGACAACCTATTGGATAGTATTTTCAGGCAGTAGAATTAGCAGTAATTAGCGAATAGAAAAAAAAATTTCAACACTACCTACGATAACAAGTTTTGTAGTACACTATTACAGTTACTATAGGCAACTGAATGACGATTGTTGCCATCTCTCGCTCGATGATTTCATTCTATCAAGTCAAATGGATTTAGGATAAAAACTAATAGAGTTGTAATCAACTGTCATTGTGGCAATGGAAAAAGTCATAAGATAATTGGCTAATTACCCTAGGCAATTTCACCATTATTTGACAATCTTGTAATTCTGATGGATAAAGCAGAACGATATACCTCTACCATTTGTCATCGTCATGGCAATGGTGTGAAGAAGATGTTCAAAAATGTCCGTGCAAAACAATCTTTCTACGGTGCGTCTTTACTCTATCATTTCATGATGAATGCTTTGATCAAGAACAGTGTCATTCAACGTAGAGTATAGTCGATCTTTTTCATGCAGTAGTCGATTAAAATTATAAATTTATAGCAGAGCTATCCATGATTACCTCACTGGTGGCATGGAATGTTGAACAACTTTGCAATCGAGTTGGACATTGAGTGGAAAGATTTTCCTCTTTGACTATGCAATTTTTTTATACTGGATACTATGAACATTTCCAACGACGGACGACGCAACAGGCGTCAGTCACAGCGGATGACACTCGGTATCAACAGGAGTACTACGCATACAGTACTGTCGACAGTAGTACTAACTACGGCAATTGGATTGTAGCGCAATTGCAACCAGTCAATGAAAGTCACAGACTACCAGCGAGTGTCATAGTGTAAACAGGTGAAGCTGCATTGACTACAGTACACTAAAACACCTCAACCGTACTGTACGTCAGTACATCACCAGTCAACTCAATACAAGTCAAACACCATCAAAGAACCGTGTACTGTACCCTCAGGGACTAGAGTCCCTTCAATGGAATGAAAGCACAGCCCCAACCCGATCCAATGGTTGATTTTCGAACCTAAAATGAATCCAATCGCTGCTATTCCAACACTGTATGACTACAAAAATTCTTAACCCTAATCCCCAATCGGGGGGTTCAAGTCCAGTTTCGGCTTGACTTTTAAGGACACTGCTAGGGGATTGCTAAAAATAAAGAGGAAAGAGAGGCGACACAGGAGCGCCCATCTCACGACACAAAAATGTCAAGCCTTCTAACGTGGATCAATCTTGTACAGAGAGAGAGAGAGAGACAGTTGTAGTACCGTACGGCAGTGCTCCATACAATGCTATAGCTACATTCGACATGAATCACTTTCTTTTTAAAAGGCACCTTTTATAATATTTTTAGTGCGGTGAAATCCATGGTAGAGTTATAGTTCTGGACAAAACATCCGCTACTGCACGCTATACGTTGTTATAGTACTGTGGAAGTACGGTAATAATAAAACACTAAAACCAACCATACGGATTGCGTGATCACTATGAAATTCTAGCATAACAACGAGTATTGATTTTTCAGTCAATTTTGTACAGTATTGTACTATTAAGCGTACTGCGATCATTTTTGACCCAGTTCTACCAACCATCATAAAGGGTAGTCTTACACAGTATTGATAACAATATTGCGAATTTTCTCTATCGCTGACTTCCTGTATGAAAAACATAAAATACAGTACTGTAAATCAAGTGCGAAAAATTTCAACTGTTGTTTAAGATAGTCTCCTTCACTCATGTTTTGTATTTTACACTGATGGTATACTAACGTACTGTACAGTACATCTACTATTATTCTGGTCAGCTACGAATTGAGCGAAACACATATCTAGTGCAAAACTCGTAAATACAGCGTGTTGCAATTGCATTTCAAATTTCAAAACAGCGAGACGCTCGCTTCATAACCCTGCATTTAATATATCTCGTTGATATTCAAATACCAATTATTACCGCACCGTTGAACATTAAATAGCTCTTTCACTAATTATACCATATTTATATTGCGCAACATTGGCACTACCCACTACTAAATCCCAAGTTAAAAGGACCTCCAGTATCCACTTAGCGCGTTAATGAATGAAGATAGTATATTCTCACACGGGTAAATATAGATTATATTTGAATCACTTATACTTAAAGAAATAAATACAATCACTATTTACGACCATTTTGGAATATATTTTATTTATTTGCAAGCATTACAAGATTCATTTTGAAACTCATACATTTTGCATATAGTGTACAGTATTGTACCTAATTCTCATATAAGGATTACTGACAGCAGTGAAATATCTATCATGTGTCATCTATTTCAAAGTAAGTAAAAAATTAATTACGTAGCCTCAGTACTTTAGGTTACAGTTTGTCGAAGTACTTGTCCAAAGAAGGTATACCAGCACTTAATCCCTTTCTCTTTCTTGTAGTTGATACAACTTGCCCTGGTTTACTTGCTTCGTCGGAAGGATCACCAGGCAATATCTGCCAATGATCAAATACACACTGTGGGAAAGCTTGGCCTCCAGTATTGGAACGTAGATCGGCCGTAAAACCTTAAAAAACAATATCATCTTATTAATAAAATGTTCAGTAAAACTCGCTAATTGCGTAAGTGTTGTGCAATTACTTTATCTTCGTTATTGACTTACCGAATGATTCATTGACAGGCAAGTAAGCCTTGACTGCAAACATTGGAGTACCAGGAGTTTGCGATTCTTCAAATACGTGACCACGACGTCTATTTAAAACTCCATAGATTCCACCAACAGCATTCTCAGGGCACTACGTAATAGAGTAAATAGTTAATTCGTTGCACCACAGCCTGTAAATATTTCAAAACAATCGCACATTATATTAGGCTGCATTGAAACAATACCTGAATCTCTACCAAATATACCGGCTCCAAAATACGAGGTTGAGCAGTTAATGAGCAAGCATACAAACAACGTCGAGCCGTCGGAATAATCTGACCACCACCACGATGAATAGCATCAGCATGCAATGTAACATCATGGATGTTATAACGTACACCACGAACATTTTCTTCACACATAACGCCCTTAGAGAGATTAGAAAGTTACAATTAGCAAAAGCTGTAAGCTATTCCTAATAAAATAATTGAATCGCTAGAATATACAGTATACCTCTTTCGTAGCCCATTGGAAACCAGCAACGACGCTATCTTTGATTTCATTTAGATACTGTACACCCTTTGTGACATCGATAAGCAAGTTCGGTCCGTTACCCTCAGGGCCAAAACACCAGATCTTACGCGCTTCTGAGACATCATATTCATACTTTTCAGCTAGCAATCTAAAAAAATTCTGCATCAATATCATTTCAACTAGAGTAGACTATGAATCACAAATTAACAAGCACCTAGCTCTTGCTTTAACTTCTCCACGGGGAGTAACATCACCCTAAAAAAAAATAACACATCAACAATTCAAAGTAAATATGAAGAATTTATTTATCATATCACAATTAAAACTTTACCACAGGCTAATAATAGTTTCTGGAATACCTTGTCAATGTCTTCAGCCAATCCTTCCGGGAAAGGTACTGCTCTCATAAAGAGACGATTATGTTTGTTGGGAGATTTAGATAAGCATGTGCGATCTGATTCCTCACTAACTGTTTCTCTGTACGATACTACTGGATCGGATTTCTACAATATCAATTACAGCTGCTTAGTAACAGTCGTGACTAATTATACAAAAATCAAATAGTATTTTATACTTTAATCGGAATGCAAGCGTGATCCTCCTCCAAATCTTTCAAGCAAATTTCCAAATGCAATTCTCCAGCACCAGCAACAATGTGTTCACCGCTTTCTTCAATGGTGCACTTAAAAATTAAGGCAAATAAAATTGTTGTCATGTCATGACTATACTAACTAGAGTAGTTTAAATAACTTCCTACAAAAATAGGGACTACCTGAACCATAGGATCAGATTTTGCAAGACGTTTAAGCCCTTCTACAAGCTTCGGCAAATCAGAGGGATTCTTTGCTTCAACGGCGACACGCACAACAGGCGATACAGAAAATTTCATCACCTACAATTGATTATCAGGTTATAAATTTAGCCGTTATATTATTTATTTTTATCCAATTACGTAGGTGATGTTAATCTAAAATAATTAACCTTTAAATTATGAGCTTCCTCGAATGTAGTGATAGTTCCAGTTTTCACTAAGAACTGATCAACACCAACAAGACCAACAATGTTACCACACGGAACATCCTCAATTGGTTCGATGTAACGACCCATCATCAAAATAGTTCTAAATACATCAAATAATATTGAGTAAGAAATAACAAAATTAACCCTAATATTTCTATATAATTACACTAATTAAAAGTAAAAAGAATACCTTTGAATCTGCTTTAAGTATAAATCTTCTTTTTTTCCAGGAATAAAATTAGGACCCATGATTCGAACCTTTTGTCCAGTAGCAACAGTACCGGAAAATACTCGACCAAAGGCGTAGAAACGGCCTCGATCGCTTGTAGGTACCATCTTTGAGACATACATGCATAAATGTCCCTAAAATGTAGGTAATTATGTAAGTTAGCAAATGCCACTGTATTTGAACAAATCATTATTGTATCTAACCGTTGGATCGCAATTTTTTATAGCAAGAGCAAGAGCATCATCATGAGGACCCTCGTATAACATTTCCATACGATATTTTTGTGCAGTAACAGGTGAGGGAAGATGAATGGTTATCATCTGTAATAAGGCATCACCAGCAGGTAGCCATCTCCTCATGATTGCCTTCAATAACGGTTTTCCTTCCTTTTCCTAGCATAATTTAAAACGTAAAATATCCATTATAGCACGACAAGTATGATATACTTATTATACATGCATCAATAAATCCTACTTACTCTGTCTTCAACTGACAGCTTGATATTGAGCTGGGTGAGCATCTTTTCGTACTTCTCTTTTTCGAAATTCATCACAGATTTGAAAATCTAACAAGGCAATTTAAGAAGATTTACTTCATGTGAAGCACTAATAATTATAACTGACAAAAAAGACCAAAAAATACCTTGTAGATAGGATCAAGTATAAATTGTGTGAATCCTCTAACAAAACCATCGCCGCCGGTCTTGTTCCATTTACGTGACTTAGGATTGCAAAAGTTATCACCCCAAAGACGACCCATAAGTTTACTGGGCTCAATCTTGAATTTATCAGCGTAGATTTCACCAAACTGTTTCAAGGTAAAAGCCCAACCGTGCAAGCCAGAACCAAAGCCAACAGTTCCTTTGGATGGATCAACCTTTAAAAGTATCCAAAAACAAATTCCGTCATTAATTGAACTGAATAACGATCTACCTATACGTTCTCTCTCAAACCTGAATATTTCCCATTGGTCCGTTTTCGTCGTTATAAGTGGCGATGATAACGTTAACATTCTCAACAATACGGCGGAAAGTCTGATACAAATCTTCAGGGTCTAACTGTAACTCTAATAAAGCACGGTCCATCTTGTTCATGAACAAAACGGGCTTTATACGCTCACTGATCGCTTGACGTAAAACAGTTTCAGTTTGCACACATACACCTGAATTAAAACAGATATCAGATTTATAGGCTCGCATTGCAACAAATATTAAGCGCCCGTGATCATATTAATTGTAATAATTTTTATCGAAGTCATTCGGAAGAACTTTCAATTAAATTTCTCTTTATTAAAACAATAAGATATCGAAAATCAATAAACTAACCGCTAACACAGTCGACAACTACCAAAGCACCATCTGTAACGCGAAGTGCAGCTGTAACTTCCGATGAAAAATCAACGTGTCCAGGAGAATCAATTAAATTGATAAGAAATCCTTTTCCAAGCTTTTCTTGAGTAACATATTCTAAATCTTTTTCCGCTAATTCGTAATACATCGATATAGCACTAAAAATGATAACAGTTCAATTTTTAAAAGGAAAATCCTAACGGGGCAGGAACGAAACAATCAGCACGTTATAAAATCTTTCAAGGCTGATTGATAACTTACATACTAGTGTACATTTTTACAGTATAGAGGAAGTCCTATACTCGCAAATCTATGTCACTGCATTCTAGCGGAATATAGAATACTTGTATTTTGTTAATTGATCGGACTAGCAAAAATTGATAAATTGAATCTACCCTTTTACACGAAGATGTATTTAATACAAGAACAACTTCATTACAGAAATCCCTCTAGTGGCCATCATAATAAACGAGACGTAGTAGCAGTACTGTACCTAGGTAACGTATGTACGACAACTACGAGATGGCGATGCTATAGTAAATTACCACCCTTCAAAAGTAAGGATGAAAAAACCGGCATTGAGGCACTACGCCCAATACCAAAAAAGAAAAGCGGCTCAACAACATGAAAAATTAACCTAATACATCGTAGATAGAAGATAAAGTAACTTATTGGAAACTAGGACACACGGTATTTAGCGCCTCTAGTACAGTATACTAGAATTTCCTCGTGATTCCAAAAATACTCACGTCGATTTGATGGTAATACAGCGTTCCTGTTCATCTTTACGTGTATCGGTAAAACGTGTTTCGCCTGCTTTGGCACCAGCGATAATACCAGCCTTACTTACTAGCGAATCGGTTAAAGTCGATTTTCCATGATCGACATGTGCAATAACCGACATATTTCGGATATTTTGCCTTTTGTCCATGATCTCACGGACCTAAAAAGAGGAAATTTTAGCCGTCCAGTCAGTTACAATGAACTTAAAAAAATTCCAATTCATTCGATTATGCGCCAGAATTAATAATTAGAGACAAATTTGATCTACCTGGTCGATTGTGAAGTTCACCTGCGATTTTTCAAACCATGACCGAAAAAGAATTAAAAAGTTAAATCATTGGATACAGATTAAAAAATAGTAAGCAATCATACTTCGACTGTGCGTTTTTTTCATCTTAAAAATGACTGACTACTTTTAAGGTCGCGATAGTATACAGTACAGTACTACGCAAGGCGATGTCGAAAGAGTCCAATGTAACAACGGTATGAAGTAATCAACGATTTCAAAACTTGGATCGGACATTGATAAAAATTCAATTTTACCATCAATAACGTATACCATTTGATCTCAATCTAATTCCTAACTTTCATATTCTATACAAGAACGATAGATGACTAACCATGGTGACAGATTTTCAGCAGATCTACTTTCGGACAAAATCCTCGCCTTCGTTGGAATGGTTGCCTGATGAAAGAGGAAGAACGAGATCGTCGCAGCCAAATTTGTACAGAAATAGCAGCCAATCATGGGATGGCGCTCGTTGACGTCACATCTCATTTTCAATTATATCCAACCCCTTGTGGTATCACACTAAGCGCGGTGTGCATGCCAAAAGGCATTCTTTAAAAGCAGTTCACAAGTCCTTACAGAAAGTCACGCAGGCTGTGTACTGTACAGTACAGTACATTGTACAGTACAGTATGCCTAGTATGTACTGTACAGTACTGTACTGTACACACTACCATGACAGTGCATAATTTACAGTACTGTACTCACTACTGTATAATGTACTGTACATGTTCCATATTTTACACGCTTTTACGGAATGAACGAATTACGCAGGCGCATTCCGCGAGAAGCTGAAGTGCGCATCCGCGTTCCGTTCCATTCCGTAGTTTACTCGGTTACCTAGTACAGTACTTTGACTTGACTGTACACTATCTACCACTGTACTGTAGAATGATTGAATTGTTGAAAAGCTGTTTAGCCTGAAACCCATAGTGTTGCTATAAATGATATCTTTCAATTTTTAAGAAATGTACTTTAAATTGGACTCAAATTGCACGCAGATACATCAGTAAAACCTTTAGCAATTGGCTCTTGATATTTTGATCACTTTTCATTGCAGTATTGAATAATTTTGTTTCTTTGAAATTTCGAATACAAACTATCAGTCACTGCTGCACGTACGGTCGGTCGAACCATTGTACACTATACAGTACACTAGTCAGTTAAAATGGCCAGCAAAATAGCAGCCATCCCAATTCTACAGGATAATGTAGTGCTATACTGTATGTAATGTACCTATTGGGTAATGAGCTAGCCGAGGAATAAAAATGTTAGAGTACATAATAAAGAGTGAACTAATTATAAGTATTAGAGAAATAGTCTTACTTTATTTGAAGGAGTACTGGCCATCATAAGAACAGTGCAAGCTGGTTAATTACAGATAGATAACCTTAGCTTCAAGAGGTACCCCGATGTACAGTATATTTACAATATTTATTAATGGGTTTTTTATTGACGATTGTACCTCGCGGCACGTAACCCTTACAGAGAAGAAGAATAGCTAAATATCTGTCTTCCCTTACATGCGGTTCTTGCCTTAAATAATGACCTGCTTGTCGCTACCGATCTACTTAGGCCTAACATAGGCCGTATACCTTTAGTCTTAACTTATTATACTGACAACCCAACCAGTACTGTGATAGGTAGAAACAGCGCCTACAATAATATACAGTTATCTCACATCGCAATGCCGTATTACGTATATCGCTAGTAATAGAAGATCTATAACTATATCTAAACTACCGTCAGTACCGTATCCTACATTCGTTTATTTAGTTATTTATTTATTTACAGAAAGAAAGGGCTTGAGCTACAGTATAATGGCAGTCACTGACTAATTCAAAAGGCATACAGTAGGTACAAAGCAATACTTGACACTGCTCTTAACCTTAATACCCGTTGATCACTAGGAGCAAAAAAAGTAAAAATCACTTTAATGATAGCAAATCTGGTACTAAATTCATGCGCTAATGACCAGTGTATCATAATGTTAATAATACTGTGCACATTTATAATCGGGAGGTTTAAAATTTTTCCCGATCGAAACAATTAAACCGTCAGCAATACGGTAGCTATGAATGCTAGCATTGATAATTGTTGTGTATAGCGCAAATTATGTAATCGAAGACAGATACAGTCAGTAGATAGGACAAGATCCTTGAAAAAAATAAAATATAAGAAAATATTGTTTATGAGCACTCAAGAAGGAGATGCTAATTCAAAGCTCAATTACGTCCATACTATACCAGTCCTGTGCTAATATATCACGCAAAGTAACTACGTCACTATTACTATTAAAACAAATTAAAATGTTAGTTAAACAAATTTATAGGTTTATTATAATTATTAGCTAATCTAAAAAAAGATAAAAACTAAAATAGTATTAAAAGCGAAAGATTTAACATCATAGATGTACAGATAGTATATAATATCATAGCCAATATGTCATAAATATACGAGTATGTTACGGCCATCCTTAAGATCGATTTTGTCCTAATGAGACTAAACAACCAAAAATTTATGAAGCGCACAGTGGTATTAAATAGCCTCATATTGTATTTATATGATTACTAACATATAGTATAATAACCATCGTATGAGTGGTAAAAGCATTTCTGTTCAGTTATGTTAGCAACAATAACAACTTGGACATGATCTAGTTAATACCATATATTTTTTATTACTTTAGCATTAATTAGAAATTGAACTCAAATTTAAAATTACCAGATAAACGTACTGTATATGCTGGTAGAAAACGAACTAAGTGTCCCATCGTCAGCTTCTCTTATCCTAGAATATAACATCGTCAAATCAAAAATTTAAAAAATTTCTGCAAAATCCCTGAAATGTAACACTTTTAATTTTAACAATTACAATACTGCCTTCGCTTATTTACATATACGAGCACGTGCATATCCTCTCTCTCTCTTTCTCCTCACTGTCTCTATCGTCATATGGCTACTCACCTATATTGCACTAATGCCAATCTTTACCTTCTATTATTAATAAATTCCGTCTGTTTCAATCCTACGCCTAAAAAATACAGTCACTGTGACATATTAAAATCATTTCAATGAGTGAAATACCCGCTTGATTATTTACTGATTTTAAGTCAAGATAAAGATTAGTCCTTTTTCTCGCTATCAAGTAATAACTTCGAGTACAGTAACTCATTCACAATCTATACTGATAACGTAAATAATTGAAATTTTATGCACAACCCTTCAATTTATTGTACAGATGGATGTAATGTACCGTATTGCGGGTGCAACGATTATGGTGGAGTCAATAAAGAGAAAGAGAGCAGATAAACTCTATTGATAGGAGTCGCTTTTATACGCATATACTGTATACAAAGAAGCAAATGCAGTCAATCAATTCAACCTTGGCATATTTCCATGCAAGTTCAGCGAATTTCGTTTCGAAATTTATGCAATTCCCATGTAGTTGTTAACAGTGTTATATCTCTGGCTAGTACTGTAGAACCCTTGCGAATAGTAATACAGTGACGGACACAAGCTTAAGAGATTAATTAATTAAGAACTGCTTTATTACGTTAGCTTAGCCTATTTATTGACTCTCATATATGCATCGCCTTCGCATTTCTTACGCTACTCATCGCTATTATCATATCACCTTATGTCTGCGTGTGAAAGATACGCTAATACGAGCTACAATGTCGTACTATACATAGCACGAAGTATAGCTTAGGGCCCCTAGCGTTGTGTACCACTATTTTTCAATTTTTTATTTATTGAAAAACTACGGCTTTCATATATGCATCGCTTACCATTCTAACCATATGTAGGATTGCACAACTGCAGATAAATTACTACACTACGCATATTAATAACCATACTTCTAACAAAGAATCGAATTACGAAATGTAAATGAGCACGAGTAATCAAATCCATACTTATACAATAGAAACTAGGCACAAGCATAGATTGTAGAATAACATATGTATCACACCATAAATTATCAATGACCATAAATATACTACAACATGTAAAAATTGCAAGTTTGTAAAATGCCGTATCGAACTGATATCGAGCAATCGCAGGATCACTTAAAGTAAATAAAATTAATGAATTGCTAGTAACTTAAATACTTTAAGTTATAGTTTGTCCAAATACATATCCAAAGCGGGTACACCTTCAGTTAATCCCTTACTCTTTCTTATTGAAGCTACAATTACGCCAGATTTGGATGTTGCATCCAATGGATCATCAGGCATTATCTGCCAATGATCGAATACGCACTGTAGAAAAGCCTTGCCTTGAGTTGCTGATGAAAGATCGGCCTTAAAACCTGAATAAAACATCACGCTACTATTTAGTAAAATATTTTAAATAAACTTGCCAATTTTATACACTACGCAGTTACTTTATCTTCATCATATCATTGTTATCATCTCACCAAATGATTCATTGACAGGTAGGTAAGCCTTGGCTACAACCATCGGAGTATTAGAAATTATATTTTCTTCCAATATTTTACCACGACGCTTATTTAAAGTTAAACTGACTCCACCAGTAGCATCTTGCGGACACTACATGACAGTACAAATAAACGATTCATTACGAGGCATCCCAATTAGCATATACGTTTCAGTAAGATTGAAATTATACCTGAATCTCTATCAAGTAGACAGGCTCCATAATACGAGGTTTAGCAGTTAATACACAAGCATGTAAACAACGTCGAGTCGTTGGAATAATCTCACCACCAACACGGTGAGCAGCATCAGCATGCAATGTAACATCATTGATGTTAAAACGTACAGCACGAACATTTTCTCCACACAAAACGCCCTTCGAGAAATTTTGTGATTATCATTGATATTAGGAATTGATTATTGGTCATATTACAACAGCAGAACTACAAAGTATGCGTATACCGTTTTCGTAGCCAATTGGAAACCAACAACCACACTATCTTTAATTTCATTTAAGTATTGTACACCTTTTGACGTATCAATAAGAAAATTGGCTCCTTTAGCT